CGTTTTTTCATTTACATAATTCCCTAAGATTGGCTTTTCTTTATTAACTGTAATTCTATTTTTTAGGTCTTGAACACTTTTGTTCATTTTTTTCTCCCACTTTTATTTGTCTTCTCCTAGATTTCTTTATTTCCCTTTTAAGACTTCTATCTTGTTCATACAATTTTTCTTTATCATTTTCTTATGCTTCAACTATGTTAGATTAACAAGGTTCTTTTGTGGTATGTTTCCTGGGATCTAGTGAAAACATACAATTCTTGATGTTGTTGATCTTTTTTAATGCTGGCACTTAGGTTCTGGTATTTAAAAGATTAGAGTGTTGTGTGCTGATTTCTGTTTTTGTTTTTGTTTGTTGTAGTGTTTGCTTTGATTTGTCTTTGTTCCTTGGTTTCTGTTTCATCTCTTGATTTTAGAATAGAGTGATTGTGTGTTGCCTGTAGGAAATTTTCTATGGGGATTATAAGTGGGGCCACTAGGGGTTCCATTCATAATGTGTTTCTATGTGTATTGAGATGACGCCTAGGAATGAGAATACACTAAGTGTCTGAGTGGGGGATAAGAGGAAAGAACAAAGTATGCTCTACCAGGATGTATTTATGTAGTCTCAGATTAGGTGCAGACATTAAAGAGACATTACCTGAGAATGAGTGCTTTAGAGGCAGTGATAAAATTAATTGGATTACATCTGGAGAAACAGAAGGAAAAGTTAAAACCTATAGTTAGCTTACCTACTTCTCATGCAGGAGTGAAATTTGGGTTAGCAGGAAATGCCTTCTGGAGTTGTGTGGTGTAATAAAGCTATGAGTGGAGGGAGGAAGTTTAGGAGGGGGATCTACCAGAGGCAGAGTGGATTGATGCAACCACAAGCATTCTATTGCAAAGCTGCTGGTGTGACACTGGAATTATATGTGGAAAACATAGGAAGAAGTGAAGATTTTAGTCATCTTACCTACTTCTATGACAGGAGTACCCTGTGTGTTAGCAGGGAAGGCCTGTATGAGTTAGGGGTCTTCAAAAAGGCAGAAAGAATCAGTTAGGAAGTTAAGGGAGAAATATCTACTGGATTCACTGGTAATATGTGCTGGATGATGTAGAGGAAAGCTGCATCATTTATTCTGTAGGAATTATATTGGAGATCCAGGGATGAGAACGTGCAACTGAATTCAGAGGAGAGGAGAGAGTGGTGAGTAGTGAAGGTGTTCAGTTAGCTTATCCATTTTTCTGGCCTGGTTAGCTGATATATATCCAGGGCATGCCTCCTAATGTCAGAGGCTGAAAATAAGATGTGTTGAATGGGGGTAGTTGGATTAGATCTCTGTGATTCATTGTGGATGGGTCAGGAAAGAAAAGGAGATAAGAGCATGTTTTCTGCTATATAGCTAAAGATGAGACTGGGATACTGGATTTGGAGGAGGAGGAGAGGGAAGGGAAGTTTGTAGACAGCCACCCAATTCCGTTGTCCTTTTAACTAACTTAAGGTCTTCCTTGTACCCCCGGTTGAACTGAAAGTCATGTAGACTGCTTTGGCTAGAAGTCACTGATGATCCTTTTCTTTTGAGCACCAGGATGCTGTGATGTCAGACAAGTCACCATTCCAAACTTCAAACACGTTCAAGTATCTCTTCATAGAAGTAAACTCTTCAAATAGCACTATCAGGTGCACTAATTAGTACTTTTAGTACTTTTAGTACTTTTGCCTAGCACAGCAATGTTACCATAAGTACAAAAATTAGCAACCAAAAAAAATGTAGCCTATATCTGAAATAGATATCTGCATATTTATAAATGACAGATTCTGAATTCCTTCTCTGAAATTTTTGGGAAGTGTGAGTAGAAATATTAATCTGTCCTTACATTTTTATCAGAATTAAACACTGACTCTACTTTATCTCAGTATTCTCCAAGTTAGACTTAATATTCATTCAGACGTACTTGTCCATTCATAATTCTTTGTATCCTGTGTTTAAGTGTAGTAGATCATAGATGTTCAGAATTTGTTCAAGATTTTCTCGTTTATTCTCATCAAATACCTTATAGTTGTCTTTGCTGTGACAAGGCTATTTTGCATGTCTAGGGATTTAACCCACAAGAGCTTTGAGATAGTCCATCTTATTTCCTGGTTATCAGGATCTGTCAGAAGGGAGTTGTCATCCTTAAAAATGGAGACTGCTGGGACTTTCCCCTTCACACTTTTTCCTCTGCTGGATGTTGTCCTCCCTGAGCAAACTGCTTTCACAGTGTCAGTGTGTTCCAGCCCATTGTCTCTGCCACTGCTAACAGGGATTCATCATCCGCAATGTTTCTTTTTCACCTCTCTTTCAAGTGTGGTTTTTGATTTTGGAGTGAGACTATTAGTGAATATATCTATTTAGTCTTTTCATCTGTTTATTGTCTGTTTTACTGTTAGATACTAATATCACAAGTGAAGAGTTTTTCAAACATTTTTGGAATTATTATATAGACATAGGCATCTCCAAATGTTCTGTGAATTTTAATTCTATTATCGAGCCCAAGATACTCTGACAATAATTCTTCCTTGAACTACCCTTGGGTTAATTCTTTTGTATTTTTCTTTCTTTATATAACATAATATATATTGAGGAAAAAATATGTTTCAAAACAGACCACAATCTAAATGTACAAAGCACTCATGCTTTCATTTGAAATCCTTTAAATGTCTATGAATGAAATGAGTGGATGGAGATGGTCTAGCAAATAAGAACATTAGCTACTCTTACAGGGGACCTGGGCTTAGTTCCCGGCTTTCACATTCCAATTGTAAAGAATGTTTTCCCCCTAGAATCCTCTATATCTCCAGTCTGAAGATCCCACTGCCATCTTCAGAGATCTCAGGCCATTATGCTTGTAGTTGGTGTACAGACACAAATTCAGGAAAACATTGCTATACAGATTAAAAATAAATAAAAATTTTCACTAAAATGGATTTTCAGGTTGGCATTTGTTCTTGCTGAGAAAGACAGCAGTCAGGTTTACTTACATCAATATGTTCATAGACATCAATTGATAACATTGTTTGAAGGGAAAACAAGGGAGCATTCCCCCCCCCCGAATTAAAACTGCAAAGTGGTATTTTATTTCCTTGTTGTCATTATAGTTTTTTTCCTATGACTGTCATGACAAATTACCACAAAATTAGTTGGGTAAAGTAAAAATTTATCCCCTTGCACTATTGGAGACCCCAGATCCAAACATGGTATCACTGGGCTAAAAAGTATTGTCAGGGCTGGTTTCTTTATTTATTATATCAGGGACCCATTCACAGGGTTCTTCCTTGTTTCACAATGCTACTTGGTTTGGTAGCTGAGGACCATCTTCCTCAAACTTCATATTCAATGTTGAGTCATATTTCAATATTTACCTTTCAAACTCTCTATTGACTTCATTGACTTTCCTACTATCAAAGGAGAAACAGCAAAAAAAATTCCTTTCTCAAAATCATTAATTACAATTCTAAAGTTACTTTTACCTGCAAAGGATCATTACTTATTGTTGTTGCTTAAAATACAGCATCAGTTGTAGACACCATTGAACATATAAAAAATAATTAACAGCAAAAGAAGCAGGTTTGTTGTGTTTTTCTTATTTTTAACTGAAAATATTTTTTTCATGCATGTATGTTGAGTATAATTTTCCTTTTTTCACCTTAAACCAGATCCTGCTCACCTCCAGTGTTCATTGATTCTCTGTCTCTGTCTTTGTCTCTGTCTCTGTTTCTCTCTCTCTCTCTCTCTCTCTCTCTCTCTCTCTCTCTCACACACACACACACACACACACACACACACACTCATTCCCACTAGAAAACAAATAAAAAATAAACTGATCGTACATTTAAAACAATCTAAAATCAAAACGTGGAAAAGTAGAAAATCTTGAGAATGAAGATCAATAAAAACTGGAAGTTCTTGTGCTATGCTGTATAGAACAGTTGTAGAATTGAAATACATTGATCAGCAGTCTGAGTAGAGTGTATCACACTGCTCCAACAATCACTGCTGATCAGTCACAACCTTCTTCTGGAAAGTATAAGATGTTAAACAAGGCTCATTTAGGTACTGACCACCTCAGATGATCATGTATTATAAGGAATATTATGTTTGTTTCCAGAATTGCGTATAAAGGGGCTAAACTGATTCACCTGTGCCCACTGGAGAATGACGGTTAGGTAAAAGTCTGAGGACTGTGGTAATAATGATATTCCTACTTTGAAGCTGGCCTCGTTTTGCTACTTTTTGAAATGAAATCTCAGTGAGCTTATTTAATTTATTGATGTCCTATGAAAAGTATAATTCTCAAAATTGTTAAAGAACATCATTTATGGTAAGAAGAATTACGATTTTAAACCATATAACAATTGTATACAAAATTCTAGAAAATTTCTCCCATAAAACAAAATTAATGAGGAAGCTTAAGGATTATTGTTTGTTTCTAAATATATTTGTTGAAATAACTTTTAATAGCTAGCATGAGGTTTCCAGAAGCAGAATCATACTTCATGAAAAAGTGATATCATTCACATACTAATGTACAAATTTTAAATTAAAGCCACAGATAACAACATCTATGATAAAAGTAATCACATATTACATATAAACATAGTATAATGAACATTAGAGCACTTCAATAAAAAGGTACAAGATGAGCTCCATATGATTCAATACTCATACTTTATTTTAGTGTCAGTAAAAATTATAAATAAGAAGTTTTATATTAGATATTAACAAATATCTCTAATCATTTCTCTGGTGAGACATCAGCTATAACTCGATTTCATATTAAAACACATCCTCACTAACCAAAGTTGTCTTTTGTTTTATTTCCTTGCCCCATGTACCCACTGTTTTGTCATGTAGTTATTTTAATTAACTGAAAGTAATTTACTGAGAGTCTGTCACCGATCAAGAGTTCTATCTCTGATATGAGTGTTTTTCTGTTTGTGTTTCTTTTTTTAAAAATATATCAAGTAAAACTTTGTGATTTTCCACAATTCAAATATGGACGTCTATATTATGAAGAAAGACGGAGACCCGAATTCCCAGTACCTATAGGAAAGGAGTACAGCTATTACTGTGACAATGGGTTTTCAACACCTTCAGGGTCATACTGGGACTACCTTCGTTGCACAGTAAAAGGGTGGGAGCCTGAAGTCCCATGCCTTAGTAAGTCAATGTCTTTATATTTAACTATGTTTAATTCTTTCAAAGAGAAAGCACATACATAATTACAGTTAAGTTTCTCATGATAAAATGTGACCAACAAAAGAATTTGTGAGCCAAAAGCAGCTAGTTTCTGTCCTTTGTAAGCAGCCCTTCATGAAATGTACACACACAGTAGGGGCTATGGAAATACCTTTATCACTTGCATATTTTATTTATAAGAACTAAAGACAAATGCTAGTCTCTTAAACATTTGTTATTAATTTTATTTTTGCACCATACACATGATATTAAACAGTTGTAAAGATAACATTTACCTTAGTTTACTTTTAAACTAATGAAAGCTTTTGTACTGTTTTTCATTTATAATTTTTATGTTTCTTAGTGCAATGTGTTTTCCATTATGTGGAGAATGGACAATCTTCTTATTGGG